ATTTCCAGAAAGAGTTACTTTAAATTTTTCTTTGGGAGAACTTTTACATTCTCTGTACTTGCTGAAATGAGGATTCTTTGCGTTTGATTCAGGTGTCTCAGCTTGTTATCAAGAGATCTCTGTAAAGTAGGCATGTTGATTGCATCAACCTCACAATTAGAAATAGTTATAATATAGTTATAATATAACAAATTTGATCAAAGCAGAACCTGATTTCACAAACCTGTGTTTTAAAAAAAATTTTTTAGTTGTAGATGGACACAATACCTTTATTTTATTTATTTATTCTTATGTGGTGCTGAGGATGGAACCCAGGGCCTCACATGCCAGGTGAGTGCTCCACCACTGAGCCACAACCCCAGCCCACAAACCTGTGTTTTAAGCAAGCACATGTATACAAACATACCACCTTCCCGCATACACATAGAGAAACAAATGAGCAAATATCTTTTCTTTCAGACCTGTAATGTTCAATTTTGTGCATCCAGAAGCCCTGGATCTTTCCATTTCAGATTCAGACTTAGACTACATTTACCCACCAGAATGGGGTGAGGAGGTTGGACATTTCAGGAAACTCAAGCATGATACTGAGGAACCACTTGAGTCTCTCTCAAGAATTCTAGGAAATTTTCTTTTTTAAAAAAATCAAGTAATATAAGCCTATTGTAAAAAGTTCAAAGAATCACCGATAAGTAATAACTTCGAGTTTCCCCCAGTCTGCTGACTTCCTCTGCTTCTACATCCTGAAGTAACTGATGTGGATGCTCAGGCATGTCTCCTATACTGTTCTCTATGCTAGTACAAATGTATGTAAGTACATGCACTTTTATAAAATTTTTAAAAATAAAGAAGGTGTCATACTTTGTATGAGTGTTTATATTGCACAGTGTTCAGAAGTGCAGACTTTGGAACTAGATCCCAGTTTCCCACTGATGAGTTGTATGACCTTGGGGAAACTGGTTAACCCCTCACTGTCTGAGTTTTCTTATCAATATAATGGTTGAAATATTAGTGTTTACCTTGTAAGGTTTTCTTGAGGAGTAACAAATTTAATATATGTAAAGTATTTAGAATAGTGCCAAGCACTTGGTAAGTGCCATTATTAGTGTTAGCTCTTATCATTATGGGACTTTTTCTTAGATCCTTATGTCCCTAATGGATTTGCTCTTCTTAACAGCTGATAATATTCTACGGTGTAGATATATCATAATTTACTCATAACAAATTATGAGGACAGTTTTGATGTCCTTATATTGTGAAGTATATATACTTATTGTGGTTGAAGAACAAAATGGAGGGGACAAGGATCATTGTTCTGAGAAGCTGTTGTTGGAGAAGAATGATGAAATTCTGCCAAAGGCTGCATTTATCAGTATTTTCTTTTTTTTTCTTAATTTCTTTTAGTTGTTGATAGACCTTTATTTCATTTATTTACTTACATGTGATGCTGAGACCTGAACCCAGTGCCTCACACATGCTAGGCGAGTGCTCTACACTGAGCTACAACTCCAGCCCTATCAGTATTTTCTTTTTTTTTTTTTTAAATTTTTTTAGAGAATTTTTTAATATTTGTTTTTTTAGTTTTCAGCGGACATAACATCTTTGTTTGTACGTGGAGCTGAGGATCGAACCCAGGCCGCACGCATGCCAGGCGATGCGCTACCGCTTGAGCCACATCCCCAGCCCCAGTATTTTCTTAATCTCTTATTGGTTTAAGAGATTATTGGTTCTTCAGAGCCTTGGAGTTGGAGTTTTATGTATAAAAGTGCAGTTGTATGATTATTTATAATTTCATTATGCTGCAGTGTAAATTTTTATAATATCAGCATTTAAGAAATTATTATGTCAGCTTTATCAAACCTTAAGTAGCTTCTCATATATTACTTTTCAGCATGTTTGTTAATATCTGCAAGCAGTGCTTGATATTTACCTTTAAGTTTTCCTTATGATGCTTATTCCATGATGAACAGCCACCAATAGTCCCCTTGCATTCTGACTCTTCATGCGTTAGACCATGTATAAGTTGTATAAGACAATTTCACTTTTTCTTTTAAAATTTGCCGTGCATATGTCTTTTGATAATTACAATTCTAAAATCAAATAGTTTCGTGTAACATTCTGGAATGATAACAAAAAAATTCAATGCAGATGCTGTTTGCATGTCACCATATCCCTGGGAACCTACCTGCTCAGGCATTGCCAACACTATGCTCTCTACCACAAATACTGACACCACCAGAGGACTTTCCCTAGCAATGGAGCCTGCCTGGCAGCAAATGAGCAAGTAATAACTGCCAGGGAATCAACACCCTTTGGATGTAGCCATCAGGCAATGGATGGGACTGGGAGGCTGAGTTCCTCAGCTCCTTTATCCTTCATTTAGAATAACTCTAAGGGTTTTTATTTTGTTTCCCCGGGATTCCTCAGTGGGATCAGCTCTGGTCATTTAGGGCAATAACTTGTTTGATAATGTTTACAGTTTTGGTTCCCTTTCCCATTTCCTTACCAGAGTGTCCTAGAATCAATCCCCACATTATTAACTTTGGTTTGAATTCTTGCCTGCGTGTCATTTTTAGGGGAACCTAAACCTGAAACTATGTCTTTCTAAAACTACAAAAATGACACTTGTTTATTGTAGAAGAAAATATGGTCAAACAAAGAGAAAAAAAATAGTAACTTGTAATCTTATCACCCAGAAAATATCTATAAGAGTTTGCTTTATTTTCATTTATATTTGTATACCTAAAACTAATAAGATAATGCTATGTATATTTTGTGAGTTTTTTGAGAGTTATAGGTTGTCAGAAATAATTTCCTTTTTGCTTATTCCTCAAATGGAAAGTCTTTGGATTTTTAAAAAGTCTTTGATTCTAATTTGTTATATATGATAGCAGAATGCATTACAATTCATATTACATATATAGAGCACAATTTTTTCACATCTCTGGTTGTATATTCACACCATTCATGTCTTCATACAAATACTTAGGATAATGATATCTGGGTTTATTTTGTAAGATAATTGTTTTAAAAGTACACACAAATCCTCTTTTCCTGATATAAACACTGTAAACTATTCTGTGTATATTTTTTTCCTGACTCAATATTTTAAAATATCAACAGAACTATATTTGACACATTATTCTGTAAACTGCTTTTTTTTTTTTTTTAAATTGGTACTACCAGGGCCTCATGCATGCTAGGCAAGTGTTCTACAATCAAGCCTCATTGTAGGCCCTATTTTTAAAATTTTGAGACAGGATCTCACTAGGTTTTTCAACTTGGATGTGAACTTGTGATCCTCTTGCTTAGCCGCCTGAGTCACTGGGATTACAGGTGTGCCACCAATGCCTGGCTTGTAAACTGTTTTTTTTTTTTTTTTATTAGCAATAAACATTAAAAAGGCACAAAAGCATACTTTTTATTGAAGAAAAATAAGAAAGTCCAGATAAATTTAGATATTATAAAAATGAAAATTACATCTATTCTAACTATTCAGGGAGAAATACTGATAATATTTGATATTAACATTTCCCTTTTAGAGTGTTAAAAAATTTTACATTAATACCTATGTAAATAATGGATTAGAAAATGAGATCATCTCATATAAACTGTTTTCTAATTATCTGTCATTTACAAATATTCCACAAGAATTTGTTTATGATAATAAATATTTTAAACAATTGTCAGGGTTGGGGTTACACCTCATTGGTAGAACTCATGCTTAGCATGTGTAAGACCCTGGTTCAAAAAAATTGTTAATGACTATATTAAAGCCTTTTAATCAACTTTCTATTGCTGAAGATTTTGAATGCTTCTTGAATTAAAAAAAAATATAGGGCTGGGATGTAGCTTAGTGATATAACACTTGCCTAGCATGTGTATGCCCTGGGTTCAAATGCTAGTACAGGAAAAAAAATATAAATGATATCATCATAAATATTCTTATATTTTAGCCCTTGGGGATATCCATTATTATTTCCTTAGGATGTAGAATTTTTAGAAATAGAATTATTGGGCAAATAGTTTATACATCTTAACAAGTCTGATAAATAATGACAAATTGCCTTCCTGAAGATTTTTGTTTGTTGGTAACAGGGATTGAACTCAGAGGTACTTGACCACTGAGCCACATCCCCAGCCCTTTTTTGTATTTTATTTAGAGACAGGGTCTCACTGAGTTGCTTAGCACCTCACTGTTGCTGAAGCTGGTTTGGAACTGGCGATTCTCCTGTCTCAGCCTCTGGAGCCAATGGGATTACAGACGTGCACCACTATGCCTGGCCTTCCTGAGGAGTTTTATCAATTTATACTTCTTTCAGTAGAGAAGGACAATAACCTTTTCTTCAGTTTTCAACAATGTTGTTTATTGAAATTAAAAAAAAAATCTCATTACCCTGGAATTCAATTGCTTATATTTCCAGGGATACTTTACCATTGACCTTTCACTTTTTGAAAAATTTTTGAAAGTTGTGTGAAATTTGTTTAATCTTTGTAAGTGACTTGTTTAAATTCCCATTACTGGAGAGGATAATTATTAATCATTTAAACATGTGAGGTCCTCAGACATGTATGTTGTAATTCCTGTTCATAAGAATTTCAAAGTCTGCTTAAGTTAATCTGCTTCTGTAAAATATTAATGACTCATACTGACTACTTACCCTACATATGTTGCAGTGAAATCTTATCTCCTTGCTGTTTACCATTATAGATAAATGGTCTTTACCTTTTTCTTTTCCTACCTCACTCTGATTTTAACTATTGCTTTTCTCTCTTCTAAAGGTTTCTCAGATGTGAACTCTTGGCACCTTCGTTTCCGCTGGTCGGGGGATGCTCCCTCAGAACTCCTGAGGAAGTTCAGAAACTATGAAATATGAAATGCCCTTGCTCCATAGAAGAGGGAGAGCAGAATGTTGCCTGTACTGCCAACATGTAGTCTTCATTCACATCTTAACAATGTCATGTTTATGAATCACTTATGACTGACTGATTCCTCCATCTTTGAACCCATTCTCACAATGTGTTTTGTTATTGTTGTTGTTTGTATTTTTTTGGTGCAGGTGATTGAACCCATGGTCTAGGGGACTGAACCCACTCTTTACCACTATGCTATATCCCCAGATACAAAATGTGTTCAGTGAGAAATTTTTAGAAGACTAATTTATTTCAAAATTTGAATAAATTAAGGCTCTTAGATCCAAGTAGGTTGTATTATTATGTGTTCTTCTTTTAATACTATTTATAGAATTCTATTTGAAAATCAATCTCAGTATTTAAATATTTCATTGATATACCATGATCTCTATTAGTGCTGGATGTACAAAAATGTTTTCTCTTTTTTTTTTGGGGGGGTGTACCAGGGATTTAACTCAGGAGCACTCGACCACTGAGCCATATCCTCAGTCCTCTTTTGTATTTTATTTAGAGACAAGGTCTCACTGAATTGTTCAGTGCCTCGATTTTTGCTGAGGCTGGCTTTGAACTCTTGATTCTCCTGTCTCAGCCTCCTGAGTCAATGGGATTACAGGCGTGCATCACTGTGCCCAGCTGTTTTCTGACTCTTGACTTAAAAAATGAAATGTGAAATATACTTGTCTAAATTCCATGGAGTGAAATAAATAATTTCCCCAAAGTTCCTAGATGCATTCACCATTCAACTCTATTTTAAAAATAATTTAATAGAAGGGAAACTAGCAGAGTAGAGGAAAGGGACCAGGAGAAGAGAGGAAGGGAGGGAAAGGGGACATTCTGGGGAATGGTATTAGCCAAATTACACTGTTATATTGTGTGAATATGTAACAACAAATGCCACTATTGTGCATAATTATACCAGTAAAAATATGGAAAACAAATAAAAGCAATTAGCAAAGGGACAGTTCAAAAAATTTGAATAGTTATTTTTACTTGAATAATTCTGAATTTGAAAGGTTATGATTTGAAGAAATGTTATTTTTACAAGGTTTCTTGTGTTATGTAAGTGAGTGACAAATTTATAAATTATGTTCTATCTATGAAAATAGGTCTGTCAGGTAGCAGGATCTTATTAAGTTAGATGTAATTTATGTTCTTTACTTTTTGAACAAATGAATGAAAAATTCAGAAGAAAAAGATTTTAGAGTTGGGTTTCCTTCGTCAATGACAGAGTTTTCACTGATATACAGCAAAATAAAAAAATAAGAACATAGAAAGTGCTATGGTCTATATGTTTATGTCCTCTCTCTCCCCAAATTCATATGTTGGAAAAACTATCCCTCAACTCTGTGATGGTTTTAGGAGGTGGGGACTTTGGAAGTTCATTAGGTCTTGAAGGCAGAGCTTTCACAAATGAGATTAGTGCTCTTATAAAAGAGGAGAGAAAAGAGAGACAGCTAGATAGATTCCGTGAGTCCCTTCTAGTATAGCCAGAAAGCACCAACTGTGAACCAAAAAATGGGTCATTACCAAACACTTAATCAGCATTGATCTTAGACTTTCAGTCTCTAGAACTGTGAGAAATAGATTTCTGTTGTTTATAAATTACCCATATTATGCTTTTTGTTATGGCACCTTGATAGCAACTGTTTCAAAGAGCTAAATATGTTCAATACAAAAGGCTTGTTACCAGTGAAGGCACCTTTTGGCTGCTGCACAATATGCCAATCACTGAAACAATGAGTTTTGCAAAAGAGAATTTATTCCCAAGGCAACCAAGCACTGAGTTGAGAGATCCAAGTCTCAAATCTGCTTCTTTGAGGATAGGGTTTAGGGATATTTTGGGGCTAAAGAAACAGGGTTGTAGGGGAAAGTGATTGGAGGTGATAAGTGGTTTGTTCATGCATAATAAAATTTCATGGCTCTTCATGGGATGCATATTCAGAAAATGGAGACATTGGCATGATCTGACCATAGTTTTTGATTTCCTAAGGTCAAAAGATGATCCATCAGACTTTTGCACAGGACCAAATGAAGAGTCAGTCAGTGGTTTCAACAAAAGTGGCCTTTAAGTCCCTGAGAAGTAATCTAGGTAACTATTATCATCACAAAACTAGTGGGAGATTAATAATATATTGCTCAGCTGCATGACCTCCAAAATCGATGATTTTTAGTTGTAGGTGAACACAATACCTTTATTTTATTTATTTTATTTTTATGTGGTGCTGAGGATCAAATCCAGTGCCTGACACTTGCAAGGCATAAATTGGTGATTTTTTAAAGTCAACTAAAAGTAAGGAACTAAAAATAAGTGAGGCTAGAAATTTCCTTTAAGTTTTCCCTGGTTTCAGGCTGTCTGCTTTTCAGAAATGATATCTTTCCTACTACTGTGGTTTAAAATGTGTACTTTTATGAAATGGTGTCAAGAGTATATTGTATTAGGTTGCAAGGCCTGTCATGATAAAATACCACAGACTAGATGACTTAAAACATTTCTCACATTTTGGGAGGGTAGATGTCCAGGATCAAGATATTGGCACATTCGTTATTTTTCTGAGGCTACTCTTGGCTTGCAGATGGCCACTTTCTTGAGAGAGAAAAGTAAACAAGGCTGTGCTTAATCTTGTCAACAGTTGGGAAATGAATCTGTAAACAAAAACATAGTGGCACACTCACATGGCCTTTTCTCCATGCGTGCACGTTCCTGGTATCATCCTCTTCTCTTATATAGACACCAATCATATGGGATAATGATCCAACCTCATGATCTCATTTTAACTTATTTACATCTTTAAAGAAGTTATCTCTAAATAAGATTTCATTTGGAGGAACTGGGGGTTGGAACATCAATGTCAATTTTAGGAGAATACAATTAAATTCATAGAAGAGGTAAAAATTTGTTATTTTTTGTGGTGCTGGTAATTGAACCCACAACTTTATGCATGTAAGGCAAACACTCTACCAATTGAGCTGTATCCCCAACCCTTGATTTCTTGTTTTAAGGTAGGGTCTTGCTGAGATTTCTAGGCTGGTCTGGAGCTTGTGATCCTCCAAGAGACTGGGATTTAGGTGTGTGCCGCTGTACTCAGCAAAAAAAATTTTGTTTTTTAAAAAACTAGTATAACCTTGTATTGGTTTAATTTTATTTTAATTTTTAGCTATTTTATTAAATCCAAAAGTCATAGTTTAGAGAATTATTTCTATCAATATTTTACTATTTTAATAAAATGTGGTTTGGCATTATCACCATATTTGCAAATTTTACTTCAAAAATAGAAAACACATGCAAAAAATATAGCACGTTAAGTTAATGAAAGAAGCTTTTGGACAATAATTGCTGGTCATAATTCCTACCTGGCTCAGGTATGCATTCAAATAAACACTATATTGAATAAGTTAATTTTTAAAAAAATACCTTTTTGAGTTGTCGATGGACACAATGCCTTTATTTTATTTGCTTATTTTTATATGGTGCTGAGGATCAAACCCAGTGCCTCAAACGTGCTAGGCAAGTGCTCTACCACTGAACCACAACCCCAGCCCTGAATAAGTGAATTATTGAATCTGAGAATCAGCGATTTATTTTCCCCCAAGACTGTCTGATTCACAGCACTGATGACTTTTAATAACCTTTCAAAAGGAAAAACACTCCCACTTTGTTTGCCCCTCTGTTTTTATAACAGACTCATTTCCCAATTGTTGACAAGATCGAAGAAGCACTCCCTGTTGTTTACTTTCCTTTTTCATGATGCCTGAAGCCTCCAAATAAGAAATGAGAAATAGCTACACTTTAATGGCAGTTTATGACCAGTTAGACTTGTGCTAAGCACTTTATATACTTGATTCCATTTAACTTAGTAGGAGACCTTTTACATGTAAACACTTGTATACTGGCACGAACTCAAGGTTTATAAAGGAAAAGGACTGTGCTCTGATAATGCACTTCTTTGAGTGGAAAATAAGAGAAAAACTGGACAACTTTTCTTCCATAATTTGTTTGAATTCACTAGCATATCTACCACAACCACAATAATATGTATGTGTAATTGCACCCTTGGAAAGCCACTTATTTTTGCATTGTGGCTCAGCTTCACATTATAGGGATTTGATTATGAAAAGATAATTTTTCATAAAGATTATTAAGCTCCTAAATCAGTTCTAAATGCTGAAGATAATTGGTTTCCCTTGTATTTGATACTGAACGAATGAAAGAGGCACAGTCTTCTTGAGAATCTAGTGTTATGTGCTAAATGTTATGCTAGCATTTGTATAGAATATAAAAATGATTAAGTCATGTTTATATTCTCAAGGATAGTTGATGATTGTAGTGAAGAGAGCTAATTGAATAACTATAGTTTAAGTATGTAGTGTGCGTAGAACATGACAAGTAAGAACTATGTGCATTAGTTACTATCCTTAGTATATTGTTATTTGTTAAGTCTCATGTGAATCAATTAACAGAATTTTGGCCTCTTTCAACTCCTTTCCTCCACTTCTCCATCTCAGAGACACTATTTCTTACACATTTTCACTTAGATATCCTGTACATGTGTTTCTGTTTCTGACATCAATTATAGCATATTATTTCTATAGTTGTATAGTTTTCATTTATTTAGTTAATACATTTTGGAGATTTTCCTATTTCAGTGTAAAAGCACTTTTTTTCTGGGGGGGGGAGGGATACTGGGGATTGAATTCAGGGACACTCAGCCACTGAGCCACATCCTCAGCCCTATTTTATACTTTTATTTGGAGACAGGGTCTCACTGAGTTGCTTAGTGCTTTGCTTTTTCTGAGGCTGGCTTTGAACTCCTGATCCTCCTGCCTCAGCCTCTTGAGCCACTGGGATTACAGGCATGCGCCTATTTTATTCTTTTTACCTGCTGCATCAAATTCAATTGTGTGGATGAACCATAATTTATTTAGCATGTCCTATATACCACTTCAAACTATCTTTTCTTTCTTGCAATCAAAAATATCACTATAATGAATAGCTTCATACAAAATATTCCTTACATATAAACTATACCTGTGAGGTAAATACCTAGCCCTGGACTTTCTGGATCAAAGGGTATATGTATGTGCATGGAGAATTTGATTATCATAGTCTTAAGCACACTTCAAATGCAATTTGACAGGTTTCAAAGATCTAAGGGCCATTAGATGGAAAACAGAGGAAGTAGTGCTTTTCATTGGTATTCCTGCCTCCAGCATTTTTCTCTCTAGGCTATATTTTGTTTCATGACTCAGACTGAAGCACTATGCTTATGGAACAATTCACACAGCATCT